ATTTATTATATAGCTTTTAATAGCTAAAAATGTTTTTGTGGAAGGGGAAAATAATTTTTTGTTGGGGGAGATTAGCAGTTCTTATATTAAATTATTACTCTCTCCTCTCCCCTTTTTTAGCGCCTTATTTTTCAATTTTATTTATCCAAAATAACACAGTAATATTTTTTTGTTTTATTGTTTTTCCTCTTTCCTTTTCATATTCCTCCCAGCTGGCGTCATTTGCAAATATATATTGAGTTGAGGTAAATGAATAAAAAGTTTTTTGAGTGATGGAAATGAGTTAATGAATGAATGTGGAGATCACGCAAAGAAATAAATATATTAGGGAAAAATAAGTTATAATAAGAGGGTACTTTTCTGTTATGCCCCCCCCTAAATTACGGAAAAGTACCGATAAGATTAACTAGAGTTATTTAGAAATTTCGATTTTAGATCGGGGTTTCGATTTCCGAACAATTCTTTTATTGTTTTGAAACAACCCTTCTGTTAACTTAAAATCAAAATAATAATTAAGAAGCATTAACATTATTGAAAATAAAGCCCCTTTATTTACTTGTTAATTTATATTTAATAAATCTGAGGAAAAGGTTGTTTAATTAATCATTTAAATTCTTTTATAAATAAATTAATTATATATTTATTTATTTCTTTATTTTATAATTAAATTTTTGTTTATTGTCAATTTAAATTTTACTTGATTTATTTTTATCTTTTTTCATTCGTTACTCATTCTCCCCTTATTTTTCTTCTTTTTCCTTTTTTGGAGAATTACGGTAAACGAAAAATGTGGCAAATTATTTGAGAGAAAATTATTGTTATTTAATTGTGAAAATATTTTTTTGTTTTCTTAGATTATTTTCTAAAATATTTATCCAGTAATCCTCTAAATTATATAATATTTATTTAAACGAGATTAGATAATATTTGCCTTAAGCAATTTACTCATAAAAATATCACTCAAACATTTATTCGCTAAATACTGCGAACAGTTCATATTTTTTTGGAGGATATATATACCTCCATTCATTTAAATATAATTGTCCTTACCTAACTGCTAGTGCCGCCAATTATGTAATTGGGCCATTTAAGAAAAATTTTTGGGAGGAGAAAAGCAGAAAATTGTGAGAGGGAGAGATGATTATTATTACCTATTTAATTTCTTTACTTTTTTCTATTCATTCATCATTTTTATAAAAAAAAGAATGTCAGTTTCAACAGATTATAATCGCATTAATAACTAGGGAACGGGGGAAGGGAGGAAAGAGGGGGAAGGGGAAGGATAGGATATACTATGTATGGCTATTTCAAAAAGGCGGCGATATAATTAAATTATAATTAAAAAGATATAATTAAATATTTGGGGAGATATTTTTGACAGTCATATATTTGAAAGTTATCGTTTATTAGGGGAATAATAATCATCTTAATATTGTTGTTTTCTGACTTATTTTGTCTTTAATTCTAAATAATTTACAAACAAACAAAATAAAAGTTTAATTTATTTTTAATATTTTTACAGAATAGACGTGCAAAATCTAAACGGCAACAAGAAGCCGAAGAAGAAAAACGTAACTTTGCCCAAGCAAATGCTGCCCTTACAGCCATAGCTGCGGCAGCAGCTGCAGCACAAAATGCTTCTGTTACAAATGTTTTTAATGGATGCAATAATGGATATGTAAATAATCGAGAAGAAGAAAAAGAAGGAAGAAATGATTCTAATAATATAAGAACAACCAATACTGGATGGTGATTAAATTAAAAAGAATTTTGTTTTAACGGGTATTTGAGATGAATTTGAATTTTTTGAAAAATACTTTATTTTATGAACAGATCTCCTCCTTTTATATTTGTTAAAAAAATATATTTCTGACTATGTTTGGATATCCGGAATCTTCGGATATCCGGAACCGGTCTGAAAAATCCTTGGTTCATTAGCTCGGTTCCAAACTGACAACTTATCTTTGACTATTAAAATTGTTTGACTATTCTCACAAGGAAAAAATATGCGAGAGAAGCTCTCCGATATTAAATTTCCCAAGAATTTTTTCCAAAATTTTTAGGCCAAATATTTACTTAAAAAATTACCTCATTCATTCCTACCTTCATTTACCTACATATTTTTTATTTGAATAAATTTATATAAAAAATAAGCAATAAATAACACAAAATCAGTCTAACAATAAAAACTAATATTTTTTATTTAATTCTCGAAAATTTATTTAAAATCCTATCTAGATAAACATTTAAAAATATATATTTTTAGTAGAAAAGTTGTTCTTTTTTATTTTTTTAATGGTCAATCGGTTACTTTAATTTCTTTTGGCCATCAATCTGTTCTTCGTCTCCAATACAAAATTTATTGCTTTTAAAATGTTTTTACTTAAATAAACATTTTTAGTATAGTAATTGAGACGGAGGGGGGTAGAATAAAGATAAATTTATTTTTTATTAGCCACCTCTACAAGTTAGACGAATTAAATATTTTTTGATATAAAAATAAATTTTAAAATTAAAAAATGAATTGAACAGAAAGAAAGTTCTGATTTGTTTTCTGAGAATTTTCTAAAAAAAGATTTTCCCATTTTAGGACAAAAGACAAATATAAAATTATAATTTAGCAGATAAAATTTAGAGAAAAAAAAAGATTTTTCCTGGAAATTACTGGATATCCGAAACTGAACCGAAAAACCGAACCAAAAAATCTTTAGTTTTTCGGTTGGGTCCACAACCGACAACCCTACTGATGAGAGAATTTTTTAAAATAATTTTAATATATTCCAATTAATTTTATTTTTATTACTAAATATTTTCCAAACTTTTAAACAACAAAATGTATATAAATTGTTTGTTCTCATATATCTAATAATTATTTTCTGATTATGATTGATCGACGATAAATTACTTATTATTTTCTACTATTTTTAAAAACTTTTTTTATTTAAAATTCCTTTTCCCACAATTTATTTAAGAGTAATCAATCTTAACTACTAATTAGTTCTTTACTTTTTCTCTTTCAATCGTTTAATCTTCTTCCCCCTCTATTATTTTTTTGCAAAACTAATTATTGTTTAAGAATCCAAAAAAAAGCTTTAAATATTATTGGGGAAAAGCAAATGTTTTCTTAAGGATAGCGGCATTCTTTTGTATTTTAATATATCCAATTTAATCAAATAAATAAAGAAAAGAGGAGTTTAATTCAGGACAAAAAAACTTTGGAAAAGAAGAGAATAATATTTAAATGTGACATAATAAGGGGGAATTAAACGGGGGGGGAGGGGGGTTAATTTATTTTTAATTTTAAAAAGAAGAAAATTTAATAGAAAATTGAACGTTAAATTAATTCCAAAAAATTTATGAGAAAAATTAATTTTATTTAATTATTAAATAAAAGTGTTAATATATTTAAAATCACAAAAATTCCTTTTTAATTTAATTCTCCTTTAAAATATTTAATTTTAATTACATTTATTTCCCTTTGGGAAAAAGGATATAATAATTACGGAAAAAATAAAGGAAAATTAAAAATATTTTTGGGTATTTTTATGCATAATTGGCTAAAATAAATTACATTTTATTTTAACTATTTTTAAAAAATAATTGTTAAAATAAGGGGAAACCATTGGGAATTTTTAAAAATTATTTTTTAAATAATTAAAATTAAAATATGATTAAAGAAATTTAATATAAATTTAGATAAATGTCCTGTTGATGTAGTAAATGTCCGCAAAAGCATCTTTTTTTCCTTTTCTTGAATTTTTGCACAATGAGTGGCGCTCACATTTATTATCTCAAAGATATTCTAGAAATTTATTTGAGAATCTTGTCCAAAGTTTTTCACACTTGATTACTTGTAAAATAAATATATTTTCGCTTAAATATTTTTAATTGTTTTCTTCCTTTACTTCCAAGTTCAAAAAGGATACTAATAACAGATAAGGTAATGAGTGGATAAGAAAAACTTTTGCGGACATGTAGGACATCAACTGAACATTTACCTAAATTTGTATTAATAATATCATAATCCAATCAAACTTTTTTAATTTAATTTATATTTTTTTCTTTTATAAAATTTTTAAATTTCCATTTACTACAAAAAAATCTAAATAAAATAATTGTTAAATAATTAAAAATATTTATTTTTATTTATTTACTTCTGGCAAAACATAAAGAAAAAGGTCATCTCAAGACAATAAATTTTTGTAAAAAATATTTTGTTTTTTCTCTCAAATGGCAACAAAAAAAACTTTTTTTATTTAAATGAACTCTCTACACTCTCTATATTTTTCTTAAAATTGATTTACAATCTCTTCTTCCTTAAATTTTCTTTAAAAGAAAAATGCCGATTAAATATTTTTTGGTGGCCACAAAAAAGGTTAATAAATAAAAATAACAAAAAATATTATTTTTTAAACATTTGGCGCACGCAATCAATTCGCACTTTTAATAAAAAGAAAGGGCGGCAACAACAAAAGTTGAAATAATGAGAACAATTGCTTTATTTTTCTTTTTTAATAAAAAACTTTAAATATTTTTTGATAAAAAATTTAAATGTTCAAACAAATATATTTGCTGCTATTAAATAATTAAAAGAAAATTCCTTTAATGCGCAAAAATCAAGAATTTGGTTAATTGGATTTTTTGTTAGAAAAGTAAATAAATATATTGGGAATTTATATGTATTTTTACGATAATTAAAAATATATCTTAATTTTTAATTTTATTTTAACAAAAATAATAATTACATAGTTAAAAATATGAAAATAATAAAATATTTGATAACATGTCTGTATATATTTCAGAGATTAAAATTAATTTTTGGAATGATTAAAAGAAATTTATTTTTAAGTTATTTTGTCGACATTTAAATTTCCAAAAATCAAAAAAAGGTAAATTATTTATCCAAACTATTATAGCACAAAATTCGAATCTCTTTATATAAAAATATTAAACAATAAATAAGGCTCTTAATAAATTAAAGGCTAACAATTTTGGTGTAATTAATTAATTATACAAAAAATCCATAAATAAAAAGAAATAAACAAAAAAATCAAAATTTCCACTTTTTTCCGTTTAATATTTTCAGATCCACTAAGGAAACCACGAAAATCTGTCCAAAGAAGTTTTCTATTTAATGGGAGTCCATAAGCTTCTAAATTTGCACATTGAATTCCACAAGTTCGTTCAAATTGATATCTTTCACATAAACATCTAGTTACTGTTGTCTAAAAAAAGAAAATTAAAATTTATTTTGAATAATTAAGTGTGAAATATTTAAATGTAGGGAAACATTTTCGTGTATAAATTAGAGACCTGACTGGGAGTGCCGTACGAGAATCGTACAATATGTCTAGAAAAATCTCGATCTCGATAATCGAGATTTTCGTTCGAGATTCGTCTCGATACGGTCTCTAATATAAATCTTTTTTAATAATCTTTTATTTGTTCCACACAATTAAAAAAGAAAAAAACAAACATGAAAGCAAAACCTTTGATGAATAAGAAAAATATCAGAAAATACTGAACGAACCTATTAATATTAAAATATTTTTTTAAAATATTTTAAAATAATTACCATCATACATTCATCTTCTGGTCTAGTCTCTGGGAATTGTAATAATTTGCTGGAGATGTCTAGTTTAAGTCTAAATTTGAAAAATTATTTACATTATCTAAGAGATTTTTGAAATTAAAGTAAAATTTTTAATCTCGTTAAAAAAGTTGGATAAATATATAAAAATATTTTTTTGTAAATATTCACAAACTTATACCATAAATGCTTTAATAATTAGCCTCGCTCTATTAATTATCACCTCCAAGGAGAGGTTGAAACAATGACTGCTAAGGGTAATTATTAGAGGATCTATGGCAAGTTAATGAATTTTTAGATCAAGGAAATTAAAAATTTAAAAACAATTAACGACAATCATGTGGAATGTAGTAATAATCGTGGAAGCAACTTTCAGAAAAAAATTTTTAAGTAAAACCAGTAGATTTAAAAACATTAATGAGAGTAATACTTTTAATATAAGAAACACCTTAAAAGTTTATGCCTTTCCAATTCCATATATGGAGATGGCTGTCTTTTCTTCATTTCAGTTTCACAATCCCCAATAATTTCGTCTATATAAGAATCAGAACAATTAGCAATAATATAATGATTATTTAATTGTTCTGAACGGAAATGTGATCTTCTATTTCCACTTCTCTCATTCCCTCCTTCATTTTGAATTCTTCTTCTAGGTCGGCATTGAGTTTGTAAATAACCAAATAAGGAAATAAATTGTAATTCTGAAGGGGATGCTAATAGACCTGCTGCTTGCCTTCCTGGACCCTTAAAGAATATTTTTAAATTAAAATATTTTAATAAGAATTATTTAGGAGTCCTTCAGTTTTTTTAAATGTCATGGACTGGCTACGATAATTTTTCCAATTTGATCGGTAAGAAATCAAATATACTTTGCGTGGCATTTATTTGTATGTATATCTTTAAGACTTTATTTAAGAATTTTTATTTTATTTAGGCTTAAATCTTAGTTAATTTGAGTTAATAAACTAAACTGTTTTTTGTTCTTCTATTGGTTTCCCTTCGTCAATTTTAGCAGCAAGTAAACATCCATCTACCTGTGACAATTATTCATGTTTTCAATTAAAATAAATTTAAAAATACCCTTTTTTGATAGGCAATTCGTGCAGCTGTACCAATAGCTGCTGGTAAACAACGAATCTTTAAAAAAACGTTTTCTTTTTAATTAAATAAAAATTTACTTGATTATCACCAAAGCAAATGTCCAAAACCTAAAAAATTAATTTTATTGATAAACAAATTGCTCTTTTTCATCCATATTATTATAAATAGACAAGGGGGAAAGAAGGGAGTTTGAAAAGACAAATTTGGCGGGAGCCTCTCCGATGTCTGCAGATCTAGATAGACCCTTTACCTAGAGGACTTTTTTAACATCATTGTTTATTTAAACCTAAGAAACGAAAATTTTCAATCGTTTATTTATTTCCAAAATTTTCATAGATTTAAAACAAAATTTTATTAGAAGCTAAATAATTTAATTAATTAATTATATGTACATTAAAATGGTGACATCTAAAAGCAATCTCTCCATTATGTTTTTTGTCTAAACAAATCGGTAATTGTTCAAAAAGTTGAGTAAAACAAGCTTCAGCTTTTTCCAAATCACAATTCATTTTAGGTTGATTATTATTAACAGAAAAAACAAAAGAAATATTGAAAGAATAAAATAAAAAATATTTAGAGAAGGAAAGAAATCTTAAAATAATTTTAAGAAGCCGTAAAATAAAATATTTTGGAAAAATTATTTTCTTTTTAATTTTAAAATAATTAATATTTTGTTGTTGTGAAGAAAGTAATAATAATGAGGAGGAGGATGTTGCCATTAAAAATGTCTTTGTTATATTAAATAAATTTTCTATATAAAATTATTTAATTTTATTAATTAAAAAGTCTTGAAGAATGGAATATGAAAAATTTAAAATTTAACGTAGTATATTGATAATACACTATATCTATTAACAGATGAATAGGAGGTTTCCTAACTTTTTCTATACAAAGTTAGATCACCCCTCTCTCCTACACCTTTTTTTGAGCTTCAAAATTTATCTTCTTTTCTTACTTTTCTTTAATTTGAATTGAGATTTAAATAATGATGGGGTTAAAGGAGAAGGGTGATAAAGGGGGTTGATAAACTAAAAATAAATAATTTTCCAGATAAAAACCATTCTACTATTTTTAGATATACTACCTATTTATTAATAATATTGAAAATTCAGTACATATATCCCGGAGCCCAACTTTCTAATATGTATAACTTAAAATTTGGAACTTCTTAGTTGGTATTCATAGAGTTGTGGGTGGCAAACGGAGTAGAAGTTTAATACTAAACTGGAGAGAAGTGATGTTGAATATCAGAATTAATTAATGTAAGAAAAAGTAAAACTATATATATATATATACTTTTACCTACTAAATAAATTTTATTCAAATGGAACTATATTGTGTAGTAAAAGACCTTAATAATGATTTCCTAGTGAGGGTTGAGGTAAATGAAAATTAATGTGTAAGGGATTCATTTTAGTATTTTATTTAACATTTTAATAATAATTTTAATAATTTCTTTGTTTTTCTCTCCTTCTCTTTATTAGCAATTTCTTTCCCTTCCATATTGCGCGGACTTTCATCAATTCTTTCCCCTTTGCGTGGCGGATTTAAATGTTGAGGGATTATCCTAGCTAAAGGCAATATTGAGCGAAAATAAAAATGAAGGGAGTAAAGGATTGCGTGATTTAGTTAACTCCAAAAAAAACTTTAAAATTAAAAAAAGAGAGAAGGAAATATGAGACAAACTGAGAATTAAGTGAAGTAAGTAGTATGAGAGAGAGAGAGGAAGGGAGGGAGGAGGAGAGGAGGAATGCCTCTTTACATATGCCTGTAAAAAGAACTTTTATCTCCTCCACTTTTTCAGTCTCGATTAATTAGCTCCAAAATTAGAGATATTAAATTTTGAATTTAAATTGATATAAAGATAATTGTTACTAATGAAAGGATGTTCGAGATAAAAGAGGAAAAAGGGAGAGGATTAAAA